ACCTTCAATGGTGGTTCGCAGCTCCGTAAGTTATCAAAACATTAAACACACATCAACATATACTGCTTAAACAGAAATATGATCCTAACTCTCTCTTTTCCATTTCAACAGGTTCATGTTCTGCCAAGAGAAATTTTTGGGAAATCAACGTACGAATTAGCATTTTTGATGCTGAAATGGTTACCCATTTGGCTTGTTGACAAGCTGCTGTTGATTTTATCCTGGTTGGTACTGGGAAACATCGAGAAATATGGACTGAAAAGGCCATCAATGGGTCCATTAGAGCTGAAGAACACTAAGGGAAAACCCCCGTACTAGACGTTGGTGCATTGGAGAAAATCAGATCAGGTGACATTAGTGCTGTCCCTGAAATTAAGCGTTTCACACGTGGACAAGTCGAGCTCGTTAACGGCGAAAAGATCGATATCGATTTGGTCGTGCTCGCCACAGGATACCGTAGCAACGTTCCTTGTTGGCTCCAGGAAGGTGAATTCTTCTCTAAAAATGGATTCCCAAAGGCTGCTTTCCCTAATGGATGGAAAGGAAATGGTGGATTGTACGCTGTTGGGTTCACAAGGAGAGGGCTCTCTGGTGCTTCATCGGATGCCATGAACATTGCTAAAGATATCGGCATGGCTTGGAAGCAGGAAACTAGCAGCAGACTAAGAGGACTGTTGCTTGCCATAGACGATGCATTTCACAGTTCTAAATAAAAGAATTATTTGATCAGCATATAGGAAATTATCTTTGTTCTTTCCATTTTTTTATGTAAAAAATAAAAATACTATACTATATACACTCATAAAAAAAACTAGTACAGGCTGACAGAGCCCTCTCCAATGGCCCAACTTCTGATTTTCTTTGGGCATTTTTGTAAACTTGGAGGATGATGAGGCTTCCTTTCTTTATATTGTTTGTACCATATTCAGATATCAAGTTAATGATACAGTTTTCAAGATTTTACTCTTAGTATTTGTACTTACAATCAGTAAATCCATGACTTTTTCTCTATGATTAGAACTCATTAAATGACCTCGTTGATAAAAAGAAAATATCGTTAGTCTTAGATAATTCGAATTCGAACTACATCTATAAAGTGTGTGTTAATATTTGATACATGAACTCATTCTATTCAAAATGTTTCAGGCATCTATTTTTATCCATGATTCTTTGGTCTATTTCTTGGATTCTTGCTGCTTGAGCCCTTAACCATAAGTTTTTTTCACAAATTAAGTGTTACACGATACATGCCATACGCTTACAAATAACCAATCAAAAATCAAAGGGTAAAAAGACCCACTTGTTTCCAATGTTGTTGAGACATGGAAGTTGAGTAGGACACATGATCATAAGGCTCAATGGAACCTATGTCCAACAGCACCCACCACTATCACTTTTTTTATTTTTTTTATTTTAAAAAAAAAATTATCTTCGTGGATAGCCAAGCTCCAAGATGGGGTATGGACACATCAATATTCCTTTGAATTTTTATTTTCTTTTTCATTGACCAACTTACGGAAACAATCTGAGGCTTAAAAAAGGTCGGGTGCCCTTGCACATGGATAAAGAAGAGCCTCCAAAGTTTTTCATATATCCTAAGAGGTCATATTATCTTTATTTTTTATTTTCTGACTGCCGGAGGTCTTCCACGGAAGCTGCACTCAACCGGAGTTGGGGGCAGCCTACTAACCTACCTCCCCTTACCCTATTACATATGAGAATAGGGTTTTGTTGTTGTTGTTGTGTAAGAGGTCATATTAGAATCAAACCAAAAGGTTTACAAACTCGACTCCTCAAGGCTTTATACTACATATGAAATGCTATGTCTATATAACATATCAAATAAATTCAGATTTATTATTTAGATGAGTATGTCTACAAGATAGTTTAATAGATCAAATTACATATATTATCACAAATCAATATGGATTTTACACATATAAATATACATATATATATATATATATGTATGTATGTATGTATGCATAGAATATACTCTGTTCAGAATTAATAGTGACCAAGAAGAAATGTCTATAGTGTTAAATACATATCCATATTTGATACTTATCATGAGCCTGGATAACCTAATGTGTACTCGTTCTATGGTTGAAAACATCATCTGCATGTTTTTCAAACCCTTGCCTAGATTAAAAGGCGGAAAATATCATCTGCATGTTTTTCAAACCCTTGCATGTGTTGTTATTCGTATTTGTGCTTGAAAAAAAATAGTTTTGGCCGAGGAAAAGGGGTTGTCGTTCGAAACTTTTCTTTTAGATCTACACAACTCCGAGGCCGTTTTGGAAAAATACTAGAATATTTAAAACGAGGGAAGGAAATGATTTTAAAAATCAATTTTTTTTCGAGGTTTGTCGCCGATGAACGGTCACTTATGTATTATTTCATATTTTTATTTATTTCTTTTTGATAATTCGTATTATTAAGTATATATATATTAATTATTTTTATTCTAATATTATTTTAATGTTTTTTAAAGTTATCATATATATATATATATATATATATATTTATAACTATTATATTTATTATTATTTTACTATTACGTATATAAATATATTTTTCTCTTTTGCTACTATTATTATTTTACTATTAACGTATATAAATATATTTTTCTCTTTTGCTACTATTATTATCATTATATGTATATTTTTATTGTATTTTATTTTTTATTTTTACTTTTTTTTAAACATATGCATATATATACATTAATTATTTTTATATTTTATACTTCTTTATTTTTTGTTTTCATGTATTTATATTATCATTATTATATATTTACTTTATTAAATTATTTTTTTTTCGTTATTATATTTATTATATATATATATATATTATATCATAATGCTTTTTTTTGTTTATTCATTCTTACTATATTATAGGGATACATCACACTCATTTTAACTACGTTCTACCCCTTATCGTCTTTTCCTTCCCAACAGTTATACTTCACCAAACCTTGACTTTTTTTTTACTTTCTTTTGGTGTGATTGCGTTTTTTTTTATTTTACTACTTATTATCATTATATTATTTTGCACTTAATAATTATATATTTTTATTCCTCTTTTAGTTTTTCATCATTTTTTTTTATTTTTTCCCTTCTATTTTCTTTATTTCATTTACTCTTATTTCCTTTTTCCTTTAACGTTTCTCGACTTTTTAAGGGTACTCTTTCAAATTGATTGGAGGTAAGTAATTTTGGATCATATGTTACCTTTAAATTTTAACTTTCGATTTTCTTAATTAAAAACAACTGGAAATTACGTAGTACCGAAAGGGCGGTTCAAGGGTGCTAATCCTTCCTTGACCGTAACCGACTCTCGAATCCGACATATCTTTGGTAAGACGCAGATCAGGTAAGATATAAGGTATCCGATTAACCTATTTTTTTTAAATAAATAATCGGTGGCGACTTCAATCCATTTTCCTAAGTCGAAGCCCAATTCTGGGGCCCAACCGAAAGACGGTTACGACACAATTGTTATTACATGTTTCCGGTTCCTTTTAATTTAGACATCACTGCTAACGACAGTGAAGAATAACCACATGGGACGGCTCCCAAAATCACTTCACAAGGGACCCCATCATCATTTTCATCTTGTACAAAAAACCATAGTCTTTGACTCAGATTTTGTTCCTTCACATGTTACTGTCCTCTACGGACTCTGGCGAGGTGGACCTAAACTGAGCAACGAGCATTGCTTAGAACATGCAAGTCTAATGAATGGTTCAATCCCTTTACAGCTTGACCTGTTTTTTTTTCCTCCAAATAATTGAGTTATTTGGCTTTAAACTCATGTGTTCCTTATAGGTAAAAGGTCTTAAGAGGATTTGCTTATATGTGCCTTCCTAGATGAACAACTCTTTCCCGTACTGATTTCTAAACATACATTCTAGTGAAAAGGTGACTTGAAAGCCTCGAGTTTCTGACTGCGATCGGGACAAGAGCCTCCGGCTCGTTTGAGTTTGAAAGATGAGAAACCCATATTCCCATGGAAACAGAACAAGAACTTGGTTTTGTCCTATATCCGGGGAATGAGATAAGGACAGAAAACAGGCAAAACTTCAGTTCCATGATGAGTTAGTCCAAATCTATACACAGTTTTTTAGTACAATAATAGTGCAGAAAAGCTAGATATGTTGATGGATATGTTTCAATGAGATTTTGATTGAGAAACTGACTTGACAAGCTTATCAGGACATGATAATATGTTGTGTTTCTAGTTTGATTGAGATTTACGAAGCAGGAGAAAGTTCAAAAGTTTCAGACAAAAACCATAGTGGAGAAAAGATACAAATTCAGATGTGATAGCTAAACTGTTGAAGGATTCCATATGTAAGAAGGAAAAAACAAGAATGATTTACAAAACAATCAATTTAGTGTGTACATTTTATTCTTGAAATTTACAAATAATTTTTGCCAGTGGGAGTAAAGAACTTTAAAACCCAGAGAATCATACAAGGGTGAGTGGCGATATCATGTAATTACCTCAAAAGCTTAATGTCATGGATGGACTGAGGGCTGTGGAAGATTAATCACCTGAAAATTTTAAATTATCAAATATTTTAAAATTTATTTATATTTTTTTATTAATAATCTATTTTCGCCTCCCTTTTAAAAGGCTAAAATTACACGGTAGACCCACTAGAATTATACTATCTTCTGTTCTTCATATTCTCAAATTTTCTGTCAATCTCTTGACTAAAATTCTAAATTACAGGAAAAGAGTTTGACAGTACGGATTACATGATAGTTTATACATATTGGAGGGGGATCAAGATTCTGCACCTTATCAATATCAGACCTTAATTAGTTGACTAGAATAAGGATGTTAACTGTAAGAACACCCATCATTTCATGTTTTTGAAAAAGCTATTTCTCAATTTGTTTGAAAAAAGTCAGCTCGACTCTTTAGCATGCGAATGTATGTGATTATGCAAAGCATACATATCTTATTAAATCATTATATTTATAACTTTTTAGGCTAAAGTACACAAATGGTCCCCTGACAATAGGGCTTTGTTTTGTTGAGTCCTCCAACTATTAAAATTACAAAATGATCACTCGACATTTCATATGTTCCAAACTTGTCATTTTCCGTTAAAATTTTGACGGTTGTCTAAGCTGGACGTTAACCTACTGACTGGTATATGATAAAATTATATTTTAATGATGTATATTGACATCACTGTTTCTTACAAACACTGATTCGACAACATAATATTTTTAAGCACTAATTCAATAATATAGTATAAACGAAGACTCAATCCATAAAATACAACTCAAACGGTCAGGGATCAGATTTTATCATATTCCATTGAGCATGATAACGTCCAACTCAGACGGCTGCTAAATTTTTTAATAGAAGAGAACGAGTTTAGAACACATGAGTACTCGAGTGACTGTTTTGTAACTTTTAATAGTTAGAAAACTCAACAAAACAACGACTTATAGTCTATTGATCATTTGCAACTTTTAATAGTCGATAGACTCAACAAGCAGTGCCTTATAGTCAAAGGACTATTTGTGTACTTAACCCTACTTTTAAATTAAAACTAGGATCAAATTGAAGAATGTACAAGTATTGAGATCAAATTGGGTATTATACAATAAAAATTAACTGCCAGTTAACTATTCGTTAACTATTGATGACTTGATTAAATTATTTTAATAAATTAAAGATATAATTGATAAAATTTATAATTCAATGGTCAAAATAGAATCGCTCCAATAGTTTAGTGACTACAAAGTAACTTATCCAATTTATCGATGATTTGTCGACTTTTTTTAAAAAGTAATCCTGTTGTGGTTTCATGAGAGTATGTTATGTTCCTAGTTCGGACAAACTCACGTACGGTCACCTAAAAACCCTTAACTGTTGGAACCACCGATTTCGATCTATTGACTTTTCACCTCGCCTTATTTACGTGTCTAAATAACATTATAAAAGAGGGATAAATCCCGAATTTCAGTGAAGTACAGGGACTAAAACATAAAAGAAGTGTGTAAATAGTGGTAGCAAGCAGCATCTAAGAGGTCCTAGCTGCAATGAATTCCTGCCTCCGGGACTTGAAATAAGTCGACATTTTATGAGGGTCGGGAAGGTTGTCCTTGATGGATGGCACTTGCTTAAAGTTTTGAGCCCATCGGTGCAACCCAGGGAACTTTTCAAGCCGTAGAAGTTCAACACCGGCTGCGTCAGCTAACACATCGAGCCAACAAGCGATCCATCCGTAGGCAATGTCAGTTAATCCCAGCTTTTCACCCCCAAAGAATTTCTTGTCTCCCAACCCATCCTCTTCTATAGTTTTCAGCAGCTCCTCAGCTTCTTTTGTTGCCTTGGCTTGCTCTTCTCCAACGCTATGGAAGAATTTGAAAACTACAGGAGCCTTTTCACCATTGGAAACCAAAATTTAGGTGACCCAAAATGGGTTCTTAAAAAGAAAATGAAATGGGATTTTTCATGTTTCGTATAAAATGAAACGTTGGAAGTTAAAACGCTATAAAAGCAAAGATCAAAATAACTATTCAAACACATATTAGGAACGATTTTTGTCCTTGTGTGTTCGTGTAATTTACCTTATCTTCTCCGAACTTGGTCCAGAAGCGAGCCACGGTCCTTTGATGGGGGTCTTGAGGAAGCAAAGGGTTTTGGGGCCAAATCTCGTCGATGTATTCCAGTATAACAATGGACTCTGCTATTGGTTTCCCAGCATGAAGCAGCACAGGGATCTTCTTATGGATTGGATTATACCTGAGGAGCAATTCGCTCTTGTTGAAAGGATCCTCTTCTATATACTCAAACTCAACCCCCTTGTATTTAAGAGCCCATAAAACCCTGTAACTAAATGGACTGCCCCAATTTCCTAGCAACTTCACTTCCTCCATTCTTTTTGAAAGATTTGAAGATTTACTGCAATTCCAGTGCCAGGCCCTTTTATGGCACAATAGTTTCTTGCTCTCCACGTTCTTGCCTCCATACTAAAGTCAAAAGTTTGATTTTTTTCTACCTGTCACTTAGACTAATTATATAATATTAATATGGCTACTTGCACAAAAGTTTGCTTAATGCAATAGTTTATTGCGGTGTTTTGAAAACCGGACCGGTCGGTTCAATCGGAAACTGTTGTTTGGTCCGTTTCATTCTACACCGGTTAAACCGCTATTAGTGATCCGGAAAGAACCGTTGAACCGGCTGTGATCTGTTCGAACCGGACCGAACCGTAAACCGGTTGAAAACCAGTTCTGTTTTTTTCCTAAAAAAAATTAAATCAAACGACGTCGTTTGTTAAACGAGCCGAGTCGAACTCGAAAATTTTAAAAGTAAGCTCAACTCGACTCAAAAACTCACGAGCTAAAAATTATCAAGTTCAACTCAAACTTGAAATATAATATTGAAACTTGAACTCAAAAAGGCTCGAAATCAAAAAAAATTAGAAGCTCGATTGAAGCCTGAAATTCACGCTCGATTAAAGCAAAAGAATAGTTCACTCTGTGCTCACCAAAAGGCTCCACGATTTTGAATGTCAAATTACCTCTATTATTTATAGAAGTCAGTTAAGATGCTCTTCTATGTTTCTTAGTCATGTGGGATTGTTTTGTTTTCATATTTTCTCTTTAGACTTTTGTGATGCTCTTCTATGTTTCTTAGTCATGTGGGATTTTAAAAAAAAATTAAACCAAACGACATCGTTTGTTATGATTTTTTTGGTCACAAATTTATTTTTTGATTATAGTTATATAATTATATTTATTATTTAATATGTTTTACCTTAAATATTATGTTGTAGTTAATTTGAATCATTTTGTTTCACTTGATTTTATGGTTTTTAACTTATATATATATGTTATAAATTGCTTTGAATATGACTTGTGATATAAAAAATTATTTTTTATTAAATGTTTTTTTATATTTTTATTTAATTTTTTTAAATAATTAATTAATTATGATATCATCCGGTTCTTCCGACCGGTTGAACCACTAAACCGATAACACAGCGGGTTCGTTGACCGGTCGGATTATGAAAACCATGGTTTCTTGCTCTACACTCCACGTTCTTGCCTCCATACAGGGATATTTAATATAGGATATAGAATATTATGGTACCTATATATGATGTAGCGTTTCAATAACTCTCATTATTAACTGAGATAAAATATTGTAATTAAGTAAATTTGACATTTAATTTTGTTAAAGAACCTAACTAATTAAAACCCAATTACCATTTACATTCAATATGGGCTTTAAGTATCATTTCCAGGCCGACTGTGTAGTATTCCTGCACAGGCTACAGAGCAGATTTTAAGAATTGATTGAATTAAGGATAAACTACATTATTGGTTACTGAAGTTTAGGAGTTCTCTAATTTTATTCATTAAACTATTAAAAGTATAATTTCACCATTAAAATGTTTGAATTATTTTTTTAAATACAAAAACTAGATCGTTAAATCATTAAGATTTAAGACCCTCCACCTTTTTTGAGAAAAATAAGGTGACCTCTTACTTATTTTCCACATAAGATAACCCTTGAATCGAAGAAAAATCAATCAAATCTTTTGACGAACGAAAATTATCATTGACTATTAGAGATGGCAAAAAGTAAGATTGGGTCAGGTTTTGACCAACTCGATTCAACTTGAAATATATATATTATCTACCTGCATCAATTCCGATCCGAAAAATATATATTTTTCATCTGATTCGACCTAACCCAAAAAATATACTTTCCACTCAAACCTACCCAACCCAATCTTTTAAACCCGACCAAATTTGACCTGACCTAACATAAATTAAGGATCTAATTAAAAATTATACAGAGAGAAGAGTATTATAGCAATTATCCATAAATTAATATGATAAATTACTCCATTATCCTTGGGTAATGTCGGAGGTTTTTCACCCTCCACCAAAACCTAATCCGAACCTGAATTTTCTTTAAAACAACCTGACCCTATCAGGTTGAGTTAGGCAAGAACACATCAATTTCAGGATTAAATTACCATTCTTATTAACAATGTTGTTGATGTGGTGATGTTCAATGCTGATATTATAGTTCTTAATTGATTATAATGAGCTAGAGACACTTAGGGCTAGTTTGATATAACTCCTAGAAAGCGACTTTTAAAAGTATCGTAGAAACAAACTTTTAAAAGTGATGTACAAAAGTGGGCTAACTAAAGAGTGAATTGTATTTTGTTTCCCTTCAAATATACTCAGATCTATATTCATTTCAATTAAACTCTATTCTTAAAATAGACTTGCAATTACTAGGTTTATATAAGTGTTAGAAGATTAACTGAAATTAGGTTGATCAACTAATTACAATTAATCTTCTAACATCCCGAAACAAGTTGCAGCTCAAGGTGTTCCAGATCAAAATCTGAAATTAGGTTGATTAACATCCCGAAACGTATGATTAGTGTATATAAATGTTAGAAGATTAACTGTAATTAGGTTGATTAACTAATTAGGCTGACATGCGAAGCCTTATTTCCTGTAATTATGTTGACATTATAATACTTGTAATGCTTGTTTAAATCAAATAATTTAGCATTATGAAGTTGGTAAATAAAACATAATATAGACATGGTAAATAAAATATCTTTATTGTACATAATTCAAAGCTATTCAAAAATAACTCCACTTACTACAATAATTACTTAATTAGTAAAGACATAGTCACACATAATTAAAAGCTATTCATAAATCAACATTTTTTCTACAATTAATTTAATTTTTTAATCTTCTCTAAGATTTGTTTACTACGTCGGATTGATAAATTCTCATATTTGTCTTTCATTTTTTTCTTATTTTTAATTTTCTAATAATTATTTTTATTTTTCACCCCTCTATAAGTGATTTGCTACATCAAATTTGTAATTCTCTATATTTATGTTTCGTCGTCGTCTTCTTCTTCTTCTTCTTTATTTCCATCGATTTTTAACTCTTATTCAGGTTCCTTCTTCTACTTATCTTCTTTAACCCTTAACATGAATGCATAATATATCAACTCATCATATGAAGATGAGCTTGAATCTCAATTGTCGAAGCTCTAATCGTCAAAAACATAATTAACATTCGATAAATAATACCCAATTTGATATTACTAATTTATTTTTTGGTTCTCAAAATTTTGTATTTTTTCTCATACAAAGGCCAACAACTCAATCCTGATTATACTAAAAATTTCAAATTTGACAGTTAAAACTTATTACGTTCACGTAATGAATTCTAATAAAATTTAAAAATATTTTATGTCCGTGAACCAACGTTTATATAACGGCTATAATTTTTAAATTTAAATAAAACTAATTAGGAATTCTAAAAATGATAATATAATATTGAACCCAACGGGCCTCATAGACCTGGGACATTAGAAAACAATTTTCTAACAAATCATCGTAGTTTTCAAAATAAAATTGGAGTTAATGCCAAATAAATAATAAAATTGGAATTACATATTAAGCCAAATAAATAATGCAATTGGATTTTAGACCCCAATTTTTTCCGAAAATATTATACCATCAAGAAGAATATAAGGGAAAAAATTAAAATCTTCAAAAATTGAGACTGCTATTTCAACACCCCTAATTTATCCCGCAAAATGATGTTCTTCAACTCTATTGGAGTTATAAATTTTTTTGTTGGTTACAGGAGCTATAAAAATTTTAAAGACAAGTATTTATGCATAAATATGATTACAACCTTTTATTTTCATGATAATTTCAGTATAACTTTTATTTCACAACAATTTATTGAAAGCTTAGAATTTCTCAACACTTTTCAGCCTTTAAAGTTTCTAGTAATGTTGATATTACGCACTTTAGATGGCTTCGGGGTAGAATCTTTGGGAACAACAATGGTGAGGACACCGTGTTCCACCTGGGCCTTGATCTGGTCAACCTTCACATTTTCCGGCAATTCAATTTCCCGAGAAAAATCAGCCCTACCCGTCCCTCTCTCCGCAACATGCCAAACAGTGTCCTTGCCTGGCTCTCCTCTTTAATTCCTCTCCTTTTATTGCATTATGTTGCCGTCTTGTACCTGCACTTTTATGTCCTCTCTGCTGTATCCTATATATAATACAAATTCACCAAAACAAACAGTAGTCTCAGCTTTGACTTTGAATTTTAGTGGAGGAAATTGCTAAAATCCATAACTAAAAGAAAGAAGATTAAAGAGAATGGACGGGGAAATTAAACCTGGGACGTTGATCTTGAAGATGTGAGCAGTCGGAGATTCGAGCCAATCCATGAGGGCCGTTGATCCAGACCATTCACGGAATATTGGAGGGCTCCAAAATAGGCGCCTGAAAGGGTGGCCGAATATACCGTCCGCCATATGCTTGTATTGCCTGAGCTCGAATGCGCGGAGAAGGGAAGGGAATGAGAGCTTATAAATACCAGTGTTGAAAGGATGCACGAAGACTCGAGAATATCCGGAATGTTCCCGGGGCTTGGGCTTATCTGTTTTTTTGGCATTTTCTAACAGCTTCTGTGTGTTTGTTTGTTTGTGGAAAGATAATAATTTTATGGGTAACAAATAACAATAGTCCCTAAACTTTTAAGAATAGTGCATTTTGGTCATATAACTTTTAAAACGTATAATATAATCATCAAACTTTTAGTTTGTTTTTAATATGGTCTCTACCGTTACATTCAGTTAATTAGTGCTGACGTGACACGTTATCTCTATCAACTATTCTTCTGTTTCTTCTTCTTCTTTAACAGAAAACTAATCAAATATTAAACCAAAACATATATACATAAAATAGTGAATAAAAACACTGTAGTCCACAAACCCATCGCCTTCTTCATATCGTCTAGACCCGATTCTTTCAGCTTTTGGTACTCTCTACACTTCAATGGAAGATGAACCCTGTAACCCCAATTCCATTTCTTGATTACATTGCAAGGAGGCTTGGTCTAAAAGGTGTAAAACTTTCGATTAAACCAAACACCCAAAACCGCTAGGATTTTCTCACCAACAAAACTAAAGGTGAATTTCAACAAAATTTAAAATCTAACCAGAATTCAAACCTATTACAAACATAAACATCTTCAGCAACAATGGAACCTAATACAAAGCTCGTTTAAGATAGCATTGGAAAATGCTTATAAGATCAATAAACAAATCCGAAATGCCAAATCTTTCTGTAAGCACGTTCTTGCCAAGCATCATCAGGACGATCAATAATCAATATATCGATGAGCACGCATAGCATCTGCAGTCACCATGATTAATTAAACCAACCGAAACCTAAATCCGGAGACTAATGTAGACACACTATAAGAGGGTTAAGTGTACTCGGATAAATGAAAGGTTATAATTCAGTAGAAAAGGGATGAGAATAATCCAAATCCACCCATTTCTTCGAATCAGAAACGGCACAAAGCATTTGAATGTCCAAACTTCACCAATTCCAATTAGAAAATCAACTTAGAAAAAACATAAAACCATGGTTTTCAGAACCAGACTGGTTAGCGAACCGGACATGCTACCGGTTCATCGGTTCAATCGGTCGAACCGGTCCGACCGGTCGAAAAAACCGGACGACGTCATAATTGTTTAAAAAATTAAATAAAAATACCAAAAATATTTAATAAAAAATATTTTTTTATATCACAAGTCATATTCAAAGCAAGTCATAACATATATAAGTTAAAAACCATAAAATCAAGTGAAACAAAATGATTCAAATTAACTACAACATAATATTTAAGGTAAAACATATTAAATAATAAATATAATTATATAACTATAATTAAAAAATAAATTTGGGGCTAAAAAATCATAATAAAATAATATTGTTTGGTTTAATTTTTTTTTAAAAACAATCTCACATGGTTAAGAAACATAGAAGAGCATCCCAAAAGTCTAAAGAGTAAAAATATGAGAACAAAACAATCTCACATGGCTAAGAAACATAGAAGAGCATCCCAACTAACTTCTATAAATAATAGAGGTAATTTGACATTCAAAATCATGGAGCCTTTTGGTGAGCATTGAGTGAACTATTTTTTCACTTCAATCAAGCTCGAATTTTAGGCTTCAATCGATCTTCTAATTTTTTTTGAGTTCAAGCCTTTTTGAGTTCAAGTTTCAATATTATATTTCCAGTTTGAGTTGAACTTGATAATTTTTAGCTTGTGAGTTTGAGTTGAGTTGAGCTTACTTTTAAAGTTTTCAAGTTCGAGTCGAGCTCACCAATACTCGAGTTCGACTTGGCTCGTTTAACAAACGACGTTGTTTGGTTTAAATTTTTTTTTAAAAAAAAATCCCGATTTTCCCAGTTTTTCCCGGTTTTTTCCGATTTTTTCATGTTTTCAGCCGATCCGGTTCAAACGGTTCAGCGATTCTGGCCGATTCACTAATAACGTTTCAACCGGTTTAGATTGAACTGAACTAAGCAACGGTGCCCGATTGAACCGACCGATCCGGTCCGGTTTTCAAAACAGAGGTCTTCACACAGGAAAACAGTTCAACATCAAATCCTAAACTAGCAAGAACACAAATAAACTAAAAACCCAACAACTAAGATGAAAACAATAATTTGAAAGAAACCCAGAGGTGAAAAGAAAGAGTACGATATGTTCATTTGACGAAAGAGGAGGCCAAGAGTGGCAAGATAGCAAAGGAGAACGATTAAGACATCGTAAAAGAGAGAGAGAATGGTTGAATTGCGGTAGGCATGGTAGTAAACCAAAGTACCATATACAAGCAATCCCAATGCTTTGCTCACTTCGCTACTCCCATCGCCTTCAATCATCTCTTTCTTGTTCAACTTGGATTGTTTCAGAATTTTGATTTGCCGTTGGAACCTGAAGGCTTAATTTTCAATTTCTCCTTGGCTTCCCCCGTTGTGGAATCAGATTTTAGACGCCTTGACTCGTATTCTTTCTGTTCTTTTCTTTTCCTTTCCTTTTGTTCTTAATCAATGAATAAAATATAGGATTTGGGTAACTGGGTTGATCTCCAAAATCCTAGCGGTTTTGGGCGTTTGGTTTACTCACTATTTTATGTATATATTGTTTGGGTTTTTATATCTGATTAATTTTATGTTGAAGAAGAAGAAGAGGAGTTGATGGAAGTAACGTGTCACGTCAGTCCTTACTAACGGAAGGTAACGACAGAGATTATATTGAAAATGAATTAAAAGTTTGATAATTATATTAAAAGTTTTAAAAGTTAGGTGACCAAAATATAAGCATCCAAAAAGTTTGAGGATTTTTTTTATATTTTACATTGATTTTATAATTAAAATTATAGATAATTTTATTTGAATTCTTTGAAAAAGTTTGTTTCTAAATACGTTTAGAGTTTTTTTGGTAAAGAAGTTATTATTATTTTTAAATTAATAATTAAATTTCAAAATTTTAAACAATATAGACATGTGCAACATATTCAAACCTTTAAATGTTTAAAACATATATATTTTGCAAAGAAAAATTCTACGACGATGGACGAGTACAATTAACGATGAGCATCATTAATTAGATTCCTCTCCAGTTAACTACTTTGGTATATTTTAGGGTTAACTTTATTTTAATTTATTAAAATTAGAACTAGATTGATAGAATATATATGTAACAATGATTAAATGTGTAATTATACCAAATATTTTAATTGCCACATCAACTTTTCTGTTAAATATTAATGGCAAGCGGTTTTATTGAATGCATTTAAATAGTACTTGAGTGATCTGTTTGACAAAATTTCAAAAATAATTATCAAAACAAAAATGAGCAATAGTTAGGTGGTCACTGGTATAATTTACCTTTAAATTTTCAACTAATTTATAATTATACGTTGAGATGTTTAAACTTTTAACGTTTTATAAATTTATCGATGTTCATCATTAGTGGTATTCATCGTCGCTCGTCGAGCGTAGAAGAATCCTTTGCAAATATATACTTTTTTTTATATATATTTCTACAAATCAAATAACGTTTTTTTCATTAACAAACGACACCATCCAAAAATTATAATCTTAGGTCAAATTATTAATTTTATTTTTAGACCACGTGCGGAGCACATTGATTTTATATTAATATTAAATATATTGCATTCGATTTTATATATTTATTTTAATTTATTATTTTTATTTGATATAATTAATGTAAAATAATATTTTTCAAAATTTTAATATTATAATTAAAATATTACAAAGAAAACTAATTACGAAGGTTATAGGTTTCAAATTTGGTGAAATACAGGCTCACACATCAATCAATTCTAGAGTCTTACCTTTTTCAAAATAATAAGCTATGGATTGCAAACCTTTACTTACTTTCTGTTTAGCTCTAAATATAATTTTCATGTCTCTAAATTTTGTCTGAGACCGCAAAACTCGTTCTTCAGCACTTTCGAGGTTTTTTTGCTTTAGATTTCTATATACATCATCTCGGGAGGCTTCTGATTACTCATCTGTATTCACAACTACTTACTTTGCACAATTATGTTTAAGAGTGTGTAAAAAAATATGATCCGATTTATCAAGTGATTCAATTCGAAAATTTGGATAATTGATTCGTTTTGTATTTTTGGATAATTTGGATTGGATATTGGAATTTTTTTGGATAATCGGATCGGAAACAGGATTGAATAAATTTTTAATTTCAAATCATTGAAAATCCGAAAATAATTGGACTTTTAGATTTTATATACCACTCAATAAATGAGTAACACAATAACCCGTTAAACCTCTAACACAATAAAAATTAGGATATTTAATTGTTTATTATATGTGAGTAATTATATATATATATATATATATATATATATATATATATATATATATATACCAAAAACTAGTGGAAGGTGTATTTTTCGGGGTCGGATTTGGATCAAGTGGAGGATTTTTAATTTTTGGATCGAATATGATAGACAAAAATCTGACCCAACCCATGCCGATCCCTATATATCCTCCTTCCAGCTATTAGGAGTTGGATGCAAGGGCGAGGGAAGGAGATGGATGTAAGGAAAGACCCTGAATGTAGGTCAATTGAGCTCGATGGACTTGTTCATCTCGAAAAATAAGAAAAAATATTTTAAGATTATTAGACAAAATCATTAATCCGGTAATGAAATAAATAGATAATGATAATATTTAGATAGCATTAAAGATAGAGAACGAGTTTATTTTATCTTAAGATTGTTAGAAGTATAACAATTTGATATCGTAATCACACCTTAGAAGATGAAACAAACAAAATCAAACAAACAAAAATAAATATAGAAAAGAATACTCTATTTGATAGATCAATTGATCGAAAATAGTTAAGGTCTATCACTACACATTTTTCTTAAGACAAAATTTCCATCATTCCTTTAGTGTTCGAGATCGTTGGTCGTCTGTCTCTCATGATACAACGATAGATGATCAACTAC